GCTTTTTTACGAGACGAAATGTAAAGAACGTTTTTTGGTGGTGGAAGAAAATAAAATAAAAATTAAATTGCTTATTTTCGCACGGATTTTATAGATTTATATCGATTGTCACCATGCAACGTGCTACAAAATTCTTTCCTTTATACTGACCCAATCAAAGACAACTTGTCACTTTATCGTGTAGAGGTTTGCCATAAACCCATAAAATGGCGTTAAATAGTTTTGTAAATTTATGTGAAATTTAGACATTTCACCATTTCTTCTTCTGGGCAACTATGAAATTCATTTGGGTAAGAGCGTTAAAAATGGGCCATATCGAAATTAATTTAGGAATCGTAGTTTGTCCGAGATTTTGGAACATTAATTTAGTTTTTTTCAATTCTCATCAGAATTGCGTAAGAGTGACCGAGAAACATGTATGATACGACAAATTTCGTAAAAGAATTCTTAGTCCCAAATATAATGACAATTATTATTTTTACCTTTAAGGTAAAATATCGCCGAGTGAATTAACGAGTTTTGCTGGTTAGACATGATCACTAAAATGGCTGTTACTATTATTACTACTTATTCCGTGAATTAACATGAATTACGGTAGATACGCCATTCACTGGTGGTCTCAATGTCCACAAATGCCACATGCATGCACACAAACTGGGCAACCATCGCCGAAGAGACCCTCTTTAACGGTACCGGTCGACGAATGCTCGAGGCCAGGTCTACTCAACATGCCGATGATGCTCACATTGTTTCCGTTTCTACGTCAAATCGAGGTACAGAAGCGGGTGAAAATGGCCGGCGGAGCTCGGATAAATCGTCACCTCCGAAAGGCAGAGGATAGACGTTGGTCCGCTTTCGTCGATGACCCCTTCTTACCGCCCAACCTGGCGTCGACTCATCGGCATCGAATCCGACCGAGGATTGTCGTCCAGACGACGCTTTTGTCGAGTCGGTCAGACGAACCGGCGAGGTGACGTCAAGCGAGACGGCTCGAGGCTTGTCGCGCGCCTCGGACGGTGCGGGACTCGAGGCGACGGGAGTCGGCTGTTCGTCGGGACTGAAGGAACCGCGACGCGTTTCCGGCGTCGAGGGCACGTGAAGAAAGTGACGCTTCGGTTTGACCAATTGCGGCAGGACACGAGCTCCACTCGACCGGAAAGTTGGTCCCGCCTGCGCCGGCGGCTCGAGACCGTCGAGGCCGGGGCTGGCGGGACTCGTGGGACTCATTTTGGCTCGTCGCGTTGACGACCGTCTGACCGATTGGTCGTCGGCCGACTGAGAGCGAGTCTGGCTGCCTCTGACGCCACGGTCGGTTGACGACATGCCGATTGAGAGCGCCGATTGCGGAGGATGGTCCGTGGCGCCAAGGCGACGACTATGACGACGGCGACGACAACGACGACTGCGACGCAACAGGAGGAATTGACGAGTCGACGATGGAGTCGGAAAGAAGGAGGACGACGACGAGGAGGAGAAGGAGGAGGGACAGAAGGAGGAGGAGGAGGAGGAGGAAGAGGAGGAGCTGAAGGAAGAGGAGGACGAGGGCGAGGGCGAGGAGTTTCGACGTCCGATCCCGTCGACAAAGGCGGTTCGAGAAAGCGAGTGCGGCCGACGGAGTGAGCTGCAAGAGGAGACGTCGCCATCGTCGCCGTAGTCGACGTTGACCTCGTCAGACGTGTCCTGCGTCGGATTGGCTGTGGCCGCAGCCGAAGAGGTGACGTTGAGGCTGCTGGTCGACGTGGAGGCGGAAAGGCGACGACCGCCGGGGCTGGTCATGACGACGAGGCATTTGGAGAAAGACGGTGAAACGGAGCAGAGATGGGCCGTCGAGTCGATCAGACGTCGCCGAGCCGACGCCTCCGAGGCCAAGCAGGGCTGCGACCTGGTACCGTCGCCGTCGCCGTCGCCGTTGGCGCCGTTGAGGTTGGAGGGCAGGTTGTGGTAGGCGGACGCGGAGGTGGTGGCGGCAATCGAGGCCCAGTGGGCAGTTGCTGAGGCGGCACGAACCAAGGCGACGGCGAGAGGACTTCGACTGGCCGGCCGGCGGTTGTGCGCGAACGCCGACGACGACGGTGACGGCGACGGCGACGCGGTCGGGCCGACCGGCTCGAGGGGCGCAAGACGACGCCGACTGGCGACGTCGACGTTGAGCGAGTCGGTCGACCGGCTGACACGCTTCGGCGAGACTCGCGGACGTAGACGCGTCTGTCGGGCGGGCTGGTGTCTTAGGCGACTCTCGTCGACCGAGTCGGCGGCGGCCGATTTGGTGTACATGTTGAGGCGTTGCCGGAGCAGGCGCGTCTGTTGCTGTTGCTCCAGCAACAGACAGTGTATGCAAGTGTTCACGGGCAGGTTGAGCGACTTGCCGCGGCAACGGTCGTGCAGCGCCGCGACGAGGCCCAACGAGATCTGGTTCAAGTTGAACCGACTCGCCGAGATCGCCCGACCGGCCAGTTTGGCCGCCGGCAGCCTCGCCTCGCCGTCGCCGTCGCCGTCGCCGTCGCCGTCGTTCGACGAGTTGTCGACGGAGAGACTGGCTCTGGAGCCGGTCAGCTGACCGGCGTCGTCCAGCTCGACGGATCGGCTCTTGGACGCCGCGACGCCGACGAGTCCGTCGAGGAGGGGCGCGGAGGTGTTGCGCAGTCGAGCTCGGCTCGAGTCCCACCGGTCGGGCGGGCCGGCCAGTCCGGCCAATGAGACGCCGCGTCCGCGTCGGTACCAAATGTGTCCATGCTGGCCGGCCTCGAGGCAGAGGCAGGAGCGTGACGGGCCCGACAGTCCGAGCTCCGGCCGGCCAGAAACACAGTCGCCGT